GACAGATGTAAACTGCAGAAATTGCTCGTGCTACTTCTATACATGTATACATCAGGATCTCTGTGGGCCCGTTGTCAGAAGCAAGATCAGTCTTAGCGGTATAGTCTTAACATTAAACATGTTCTTGTAGACCGAAACCCCCAAACACTGAGTTTGAGAAACTCGTAACTTTACCATGTTTCTGTTATAGCAGTCTATGAGAAAAAGTTAATGTTAACACTAACGCTGAGCCTGATTTTGCTTCTGAAAGCGTGGGCACCTGTTCAATGATGGCACAGTACTATACAGACCCGACTATGTAAACTTGGGATGATCAATTAAACTGAAGGTGTATATCCTTTCACGAGAAGTGGGCCTTAACCTAAGGTGTATGTCTTTCAATACCGCCAAATGTAAAATTATCCGTATGGCCCGTTCTTAATTGTTCTTGTCTTTCATCTACTCTATATACCATAGGTATCTATATACTAGGTATCGAAAGCTTAGAATACCTATATGAGTATTAATACCTATATAATGCCTTATAAGTATTATAAGCTCTTGTATGTATCTATCTAGGTATCTATAGGTGCCTATGTACTATAGGGATCTCTTTCTCCTATTATAGTTTCTTTGTACTCGCATATATTTGGCTGCCAATGTAAATCTGCCCTCGCTAGACTGTACATGATGATTATATTTGCAAGAAGGTTTCTCGTTCTTTAGGTATGTTATGCCGAAAGCTTATTTTTGTCCGTCCAAAAACTTGGCGTCTGGCATATAAAACCTCGGTTCATCCAATATTAGACTACGCTTCTTATGGTTGGTCCCTCTATACCCTCGGATGTGTGTGTGTGTTGCGAAGGTCTGAACCGTCTCTACGGGACGTAGATACACTGTCACTACCCCGCGTGTGTGAAGGTGGAGGCCTGGACCGTATCTAGGGGATGTAGATACACTGCCTCTACCCCGCGTGTGTGAAAGGGGAGGCTTGGACCGCCTCTACGGGACGCGGATCCACTGCCACTACCCCCGTGTGTGTAGCGGAGGTCTGGACCGTCTCTACGGGGCGTAGATACACTGCCACTACCCCGCGTGTGTGTAACGGAGGTCTGGGCCGTCTCTACGGGACGCAGATCCACTGCCACTACCCCGCGTGTGTGAAGGGGGCTGGACCGTCTCTACGGGGCGTAGATACACTGCCACTACCCCGCGGGTGTGAAGGGGGAGGCATGGACCGTCTCAAGGGGACGTAGATCCAATGCCACTACCCGCGTGTGTGAAGGGGGAGGCCTGGACCGTCTCTAGAAGACGTAGATACACTGCCTCTCCCTCGCGTGTGTGAAGTGGGAGGCCTGGACCGTCTCTACAGGACGTAGATACACTGCCTCTACCTCGCGTGTGTGAAGTGGGAGGCCTGGACCGTCTCTACAGGACGCAGATACACTGCCACTACCCCTGTGTGTGTAGCGGAGGTCTGGACCGTCTCTGCAGGACGCAGATCCACTGCCACTACCCCGCGTGTGTGAAGGGGGGCTGGACCGTCTCTACGGGGCGTAGATACACTGCCACTACCCCGCGTGTGTGTAACGGAGGTCTGGGCCGTCTCTACGGGACGCAGATCCACTGCCACTACCCCCGTGTGTGTAGCGGAGGTCTGGACCGTCTCTACGGGGCGTAGATACACTGCCACTACCCCGCGTGTGTGAAGGGGGCTGGACCGTCTCTACGGGGC